GCCTCCCTACATGGGTCATGTGCGCAAACCACTGCGCCACCTGCATGCCCACCAGAGTGGCAGTCTGGGGAAGTGAGGCTCGAACTCAGAACCACATGATTCCAAGCTCTATTCCCTAACTAGGCTGCCATTAAACTGCTTACCACTACTATTGATTTTCAACTACTTTTTATTTTTTCTAGTTTTAAATTACTAATACATTTTCAAACTGGTCATATATTTTTGTTTTGCTGCATTCACACCAAAGGCGTAATGGGCTTCAAAAACTTGCAAACGCAGAAATTTGGACGCTGGGTCAGACTCTGGATCAAACTGTGGTCAAGTTGCTTTGATGCTTCACCACTCTGGCTGCTCGGCACTCTGCTTGTTTATCTGCTTGTTTTCTAGTTTCAAGCTAGAGAGTAGCTTAGCTTTGTTTACTTTATGAGCAGAAAAAATACTTTTACTAATAATTGTGCTGTTTTGGCAATAAAAACAGTTCCAATAAAATAAAATAGACATTCGAAAGTTTGTTTATGTGCACTGTTTTCTCTGGTGTTGTGGGAAAAAAAACTATTTTTGGCTATTTTTGTCATGTATCTAGGTATTTAGTAATTCAGTAGACAAAGTTAAGTAAATTTGAAATCACACACCCTCCATTGGCAAATCTATGTGGTCCAACAGCAAAGGTAAGAACATAGCACAAACAATACTGAAAGAAGATTATTAGAATATAGTATAATACTTGTAAACACACAAGATGTCTTTATAAAACAGTAAATTTTCTTGAGACATATTCTTGCATTTTTTTATGTTATCCAGTTATACTGGAAAGAGATTATATATATATTTACCTACATTTTCCTCATGTAATAGTAACTATTACCTTACAGGAGATCATTAAAACAATTTAAAAAATGATATGTTTACAGTACTTCTAAACTGTTGGTGTCCTAAAAAACAAGATGTCTCTCTTTTTAACAACCAATATTTAATTCTTAGATATACTACCCAGAGAGCAATTTACCCAGAGCAAAGCTCAAAGTTCAGTTTCCTTTGTTGCAGTGTGTGTTTATATATAACTTAATGATATTCTAGATAACATTTGAGAATATTCTTAGCTACTGGTGTAGTTCAGGGATTACCTTGATTTTGGTTTTATGTCTGTCTTGGGATGACCATTAATACTGAATGTATAAAAGCTCATATAACAGCTGCTGCTAGGATTATTTTTGAACACAGAAAGGTGGTAAAACCTTCAGAGATTAAAGAAAGGGTAAGGCTGTGGATTTGAAGAAATTCTACAGGCATGTCTGATTGATTAAAGGCATCATGTTTAAATCGAGCCTTGCTTTGGTACACTTTGGTCATCTTTTTTCTCATTTTGTAAGATTCAATTTAGATTATCTGATATCTTCTCAAATTTTTATATAGTGGCTATAAGTTAGTGACTTTTTCAGTGCTTCCCCCTCTATACAAATTATATAAATGTGCCTTTATTGGGTTTTCTATTTTCTTTCCTCTTGGATAGTAACCTTTACCGTCTTTATTCTATAAAGTCCTACTGTAAAATCCTTTGTTTATTGCCTGTATCTTTTGCATTTTAAGTACATAATTATGTTTTTATCTGCTTTATGCCCAGAGGTTACTGCACTTCTAATCAGTTTACTGTTTTATTTTTTTTTAAATGTCCCTAATGCCAGATTACAGAAAACATAATGTGTTATTAGTTTGTGTTCAATTGATAATGACCCTATTCACTGGATAACGTCAGGTTTTACTGCACTTATTACCACAAACAGCATGACAGACCAGCATGTCTACAGCTGGTACTATTCTGCTCGATTCAGAGTCATCTGTTAGTATTTCTAATGCCAGTTTTGCAGAGAGCTTGGCAGAGGTTTATGAACTAATAAAGGAAGACTGACAGAAAAAGAACTCATGTTTTTGTGCAAACTGCGCCCACCAGGACTTAAAAAATAAGTCCGTACGTCAGCCATATCCACTCCAAATTTAAAGCAACACATCGAGTTAAAGCATCCAAGCTATCTTGGGAAATATCTGCCACTGAATGTGGAATGTAACAATCATTTTTGATACAGATCTTTTCAGCAGAAACTAAATGTACCTGTATGTTTCTGAGGTTCTGTGTAATTTGGCATAATAAAGGGTTCCCTGAACATACAGTATACCTGTAAAGTATAACAGTATATTTTCAATTTCTCTCTATATATCATAATAAGACATTTAAAGGGTGAAATATGTGGTTTTATTGTGTAGGGTTGTGGATTAGTTTACAAAATTAACTTGAACTAGTTTGTCTATAGGTTTGTGAACTTACAGGTGCTGGTCATAAAATTAGAATATCATGAAAAAGTAGATTGATTTCAGTAATTCCATTTAAAAAGTGAAACTTGTATATTATATTCATACATTACATACAAACTCATATATTTCAGATGTTTATTTTGTTTAATTTTGATGATTACAAATGACAACAAATGAAAATCTCAAATTCATCATATCAGAAAATTAGAATATTGTGAAAAGGTTCAAAATTGATGGCCCCTGGTGCCACACTCTAATCAGCTAATTAACTCAAACCACCTGCAAAAGCCTTTAAATGGTCTTTCAGTCTAGTTCTATAGGCTACACAATCATGGGGAAGACTGCTGACTTGACAGTTGTCCAAAAGACGACCATCGACACCTTGCACAAGGAGGGCAAGACACAAAAGGTCATCGCTAAAGAGGCTGGCTGTTCACAGAGCTCAGTGTCCAAGCACATTAATAGAGAGGCGAAGGGAAGGAAAAGATGTGGTCGAAAAAAGTGTACAAGCAAGAGAGATAACCGCACCCTGGAGAGGATTGTGAAACAAAACCCATTCAAAAATGTGGGGGAGATTCACAAAGAGTGGACTGCAGCTGGAGTGAGTGCTTCAAGAACCACCACACACAGACGTATGAAAGACATGGGTTTCTGCTGTCGCATTCCTTGTGTCAAGCCACTCTTGAACCACAGACAGCGTCAGAAGCGTCTTGCCTGGGCTAAAGAGAAACAGGACTGGACTGCTGGTGAGTGGTCCAAAGTCATGTTCTCTGATGAAAGTAAATTTTGCATTTCCTTTGGAAATCAAGGTCCCAGAGTCTGGAGGAAAAGAAGAGAGGCACTTCATCCACGTTGCTTGAAGTCCAGTGTAAAGTTTCCACAGTCAGTGATGGTTTGGGGTGCCATGTCATCTGCTGGTGTTGGTCCATTGTGTTTTCTGAGGTCCAGGGTCAACGCAGCCACATACCAGGAAGTTTTAGAGCACTTCATGCTTCCTGCAGCTGACCAACTTTTTGGAGATGCAGATTTCATTTTCCAACAGGACTTGGCACCTGCACACAGTGCCAAAGCTACCAGTACCTGGTTGAAGGACCATGGTATCCCTGTTCTTAATTGGCCAGCAAACTCTCCTGACCTTAACCCCATAGAAAATCTATGGGGTATTGTGAAGAAGAAGATGCAATACACCAGACCCAACAATTCAGAAGAGCTAAAAGCCACTATTAGAGCAACCTGGGCTATCATAACACCTGAGCAGTGCCACAGACTGATCGACTCCATGCCACGCCGCATTGCTGCAGTAATACAGGCCAAAGGAGGCCCAACTAAATACTGAGTGCTGTACATGCTCATACTTTTCATGTTCATACTTTTCAGTTGGCCAACATTTCTATAAATCCTTTGTTTTTATTGGTCTTCAGTAATATTCTAATTTTCTGATATGATGAATTTGAGATTTTCATTTGTTGTAATTTGTAATCATCAAAATTAAACAAAATAAACATCTGAAATATATGAGTTTGTATGTAATGTATGAATATAATATACAAGTTTCACTTTTTAAATGGAATTACTGAAATCAATCTACCTTTTTCATGATATTCTAATTTTATGACCAGCACCTGTAGAGCTTGTTCTTTTTAATTATAAACTGGCAAAATAGCAGCCACAGCTGAGTTAACCATCCATTCCCTGAGCTATCAACCTTAATGTCTTTATAGGATTAGAAAAAAAGAGATTCTTTTCAAAATTAGATCATTGACCATCCCAGCTAAGATAATGTAGCTTTAAAAAATGAGGCAGCATTGGAGGTAACTGTTGGACCTGAATTGTATTTGGACAGTTTTGATCAAGTTGAGACTTCTGAGTTGTCAAAACTATTATTTTAATCTAAGCTTTCAACTTGTATGTTAGATCCATTATTAACAAAATATTGAAGGACGTATTCCCCATAATTTCAATCTCCACGTTAGATATTATTTATCCCTACGACAATTATAATTCAAGCTGAATTTTAAGATAAATCAACCTTTATTAAAGAAAATTCTTGATCCAAATGACTTGATCAGATATAGTTTTACACTGTATTCCCCAACAGTGCTATAAACTCAATACAATTGCTGAGCTGTACTCAAAGCTGCCATATTGTTCAGGCACCACAAATATTTTAAGTTCACTTAACTGGTTACCCAGTTATTGATTATTTTGACAAGATTAACTCTTAGTATATGAGTAGAACTGACCCCCAAACTCATTCCTTTCAAGAGTGGATTGAATTTACGTCTGACGTAATAATGACGTGCCAGTTCATTGGATAGGTTCATATCAACATGGCAATTAACCTAACAAACCAATATAAAAAAATACAAAAAATCGGATATCCCAAATGAAAGGTGGATGAACTATATGGAACCCCAAATGATTCATAATTAAATAAATAAATAAAAAATTCTGAAATAAAAACAATTTTGATAAATAACAAACAAATATATAATATGGTCATGAAATAAAAACAAGGTAATGTTATTATGAAATATATATTTTTATTCTTTAATATATTTGTGTGTTATTTATCAAAATGGTATTTATTTCATAAAGTTTTTAATTGATTTAATTATGAATCATTCGGGGTTCCATAGCACTAGTCTATGATCGATTGTGGTGAATGTAATCTGTTACAATTTGACATCGTAAGACTAGTTGTTTGCAGGGACTGCTGTGCAATCGGATGTAGGCAGGCAACAACATTGAGGAGATCATCAACAACATCAGGCTGCAAACCGTAGCCTCTGAACTCTGCACAAAAGGTAAGAACACGCTTGTAGGCTACTTTGTTTATTTATTTGTTTATCGTCTTCCAGCGGGCAGACCTCAGCTAAAGCATAAGCTATGTGACAGAGACCTCCTGTGGGATATGTTTTTGCGAGGTAACTAGGGTGGCCATTTCTATAGCACCAAAAAGGAGGACATTGTGCGGCATATCAATAAATTACTAAAAGAGGATGCTTGTGTAGCTGAATAGAACAAAATATTAAAGAAATGTAAAAAAGAATTGGTTCCCAGCATTTGTATTTATTTAATACATTGTGGTGTTTAAAAAGTGACAATTTTTTAACACGATTAATTTGCACAGAACTCCTGCAATTGATCATAAAGCAGTTGTTTGGAAAAGAAGCTCGAGAAAGAGCTAGAGAATAGGACGATGCAAACTGCAAAAAGTGGCTGGAAAAGAGGAATTCATGACATGGCCGCAGCCTGTCGAGAGTAAAGATGATTTCACCATGTTCTCTATCTATCCATATCTATACATATATATATATATATATATACATATATATATATACATATATATATATATATATATATATATATATATATATATATATATATATATATATATATATATAAACTTGAGTCATGGAACTGTGCTTACAGCTCCTTATTTCATGTAAACTAATAACTTGTGTACATGATACTTGTTGATGGCATTAAAATTATTTCTAATAGCATTAAAAGAGCATTAAATTAGAGTTCCTCATTCCTGTATAAAACCTGTGAACGCTTAATTTAATCTGACATATTAAAAAAATCCCCATCATCATCCAGCAGATGTTCAGTTTCTGCCCAAATATTTTCTTTCTGTTGTGGATTTTTGTAACAGGGATAACTAGGATCATACATAGTTTGTATGAACTCTGTTTATTCTCTGCTTCCAAACTCATCATCTCTTCATCCATTCCTGCAATAAGAATTTTCTTTTAAAGTTGTGAGATTCACTCTAGAATCTCACAACTTCTTCCTGGTCTGATTATTTAATTAATTGCTCTTAGTTTTTGGGAATATATACAAACTATGCTCTAATTTCTAGATACCTATCTGTTTTTACTATAATTTAATTTGACAAACCGGGTCTTCTCTACATTCTTTTTTCTGTTTGGTGCGATTGCAATAGCGGGTCTTGATCTGGACGGACCGGAGAGGAGCAAAAAATAGCTCAGCTCCGTATTTTGACGGTGAAGGAGAAGACGTACGTGGGCGGTGACGAGCGGAGGATGTGGAACAGCTCTCATTGATTTACATGACAGACAAGTACTCCGTACGTGAGCGGGGCGGAGCGCTGACGGAGTATGTGGAATCTGGGAGTAAAGGAGGACAAATACACGTCCGGCTGGGTGCAGCGCCGGACGCCGGACAGTGCAATGAAAATCCGGACTGTCCGCCCCAAAGCCGGACATCTGGCCACCCTAGAGGTAACTAAAGTTTTTTGTCTCAGCTGTGAGCCAGCTAGCCTTTTGCGCTACTTTATTTGAAAACAGGACAGACAAACCTAATGGTTTTAGCACTACCAAATATCTTTTATCATCCGTTTCTGGTGTTAAGCCTACTACTTTGGCCGCGAAAATTATAGCCAGCCAGACGCCGAAGCAATGTTTCATAACTTGAGCCTATGATAGGAAGCCAAGTTGTATCTAAACTTGCCGACAATAGCCTAGCTTAGCATGATCACTGTCAATGTCTGATTCTGATAGGCAGTGTTGGGCAAGCTACTTGTCCAGTGTAGTGAGCTAAGCTATCAGTTACTCAACAATAAATTAAGCTTCACTACACCAAAGCTACCACCTAAAGAATTATGGCAAGCTAAGTTACACTAATGTGTTAACAGTAGCTTAACTACATCAGAAGCTACTTAACATTGTACCAAGCTAATGTCAATTCAAAATGAGTCTGATACACTGGTTAAAATATTTATTAAAGATCAGCCAATGACATAGCACAGTGTAAAAATTGTTTTATGATCAGCATAATAAAAAAAAAACTAAAGTATTTACTAGTAGACAAAAAAATAAACAATCTGCTGTTTTTAGAACCAAATTAAAGGTACTGTGTAGTGTTCTACACATGGAGACATGGCTATGAGTTTACATTCAATGGACATCTCTAGGGAAAACAAAACCCTACAAAAGGCATCTTATTTCTTTAGGGTTTCCCTTAGAGAAAACTTCTTCAGACCTCAATTAAACAGTCGATTCAAGTAACAAATGAAACTGTTTACAAAAAGGTGAAAAAATAAAGAAGCTAATTAAGAGATATATATATATATACATTTATGTCTCACTGTATAATTTAATTTCTACCTACATATTTATTCATTGTATTTTGGGGGGTAATTAATTGAATGCCTATTTATTTATTGAGCATGTATTTATTTATGTATTTATTTTTATATACGGTAGAGCTGTTCCTCCATACCTAAAAAATCTTATCTGTGCAAATAAGCCTTAAAACAGATTTATGTAAACATCCTGTCAGGTATACTAGGCCATGAAAATACAATATCTAAGTTTGGCTACTGCTCTCTAATGAGAATATCTTAGTGGCACTCATCAGACGTAAGAAACTACTACCTTTATTTGCTTCGATGTCGCAATACATCATACTTTCATAAAATCGTGTAACATACTCTACCCTATCTGTGGACATTGTTATTTGCTAAGTAGGTGCTGGATAAACAAATAAAAGTGCTTTAATGTTGCTTTAAAGAAACATCTTCAGGACCTATGATCTCCTTGTATGTAACATTTCCTACCTCATGACAATTTGTACTATAGTATTATTTAATATATGCATATGATTAATATTCTGCTTATTCTGCAATTCTGTCTTCCCATTACCCACAATCCCTCTGTCTTCTAGGAAGTTGCGATGTTAACAGCAGACGCACAATTGCTCTGCAGGCACTTCCCATCTTCCTGCGTGAAGATGCTGCTGGATTTTTTAAGACCTGGAATGTAAGTTTATGATTCAACTGTGTGTACTCTTTTACTCTTTCTTTTTCTTAGTTTGTGTATCTCTATAAATATATTTTTTTTCTATTTAACCCTCTGTTACTGCCAAAAGACAACAACCACAACCCTCTTCCTAGCCACCAGAAAAGCTATTAAATCATACTGTACTACAGTAATTCTCCAAGAATGTCATATTTGGGAATTTTACCTGAACTTTTCATTCACTGGTATTTCATATTAAATACACATGTAGTGTTTTTCATTTTCTGCTCTACTCATTAACTAATTACTGTCATGTTCTTTAGGCAGAAGACATTGACCTGCCAGACCTCTCGGATACAACTGTAGCTGTTCTCACTGTCTCGAATGATACAGTCTCCCTTGTGAAGTTTGGTCCTGCAATACATTCTATAGTTCTTGAGGGAGAGATTGTGGTATGTGATAAACTTTAGCACAGTTAACAGAGACATTCATTTTGCTTTTTGGCTTGATTTATGCACTACATCTACAGTATCCAAAGAAATTGACATATACATTCAATTTTATTCAGAAAGTTGTAATGGGTTTGGATTAGGGGTGCACCGATAAATCGGCCAGCCGATCGATCGGCCCCGATTTTTCTTAATTTAGGGTGATTGGTGATCGGCCGATATATACATACGAAACCGATCTTAACCACCGATCTATTTACCTCCGCGAGTGTCTTAAAATCAATTGCTATTCCATATTTTTTCTGCTCTTAGAGACGGCTGACTGAAAGACCCACTCACCGGGTCGAGTGAACTGTAACAACATCCGGTGTCGCAGTTCACAGGTCACCAGGAGCAGCTATGTCGTTGGTTTGGAAATATTATACTGTTAAAGAAGGAGATCAAAAGCTCGCAATTCGCAATTCTTGTAAGGCCGAAATTAGTCGGGGTGGAACCACTTCCAAAAGCTTTACTACTACAAACCTCGTTCCCCATTTAAGAAACCACCACGCCGCTGAATATGCAGCATTTGAAAAGAACAATCAAGCTAGGGCTAAAGCGAAAGCCACCGGAAGAAAAGAGTCCGTCGGTGGCCCGCTGTTAGCTCTTATGAGCAATGAAAAAAAACAAAGCTACTACGAGGAAACCTATCTCTCTGGCCCATGCACAAGCATTGAAAGTGAACACCTGTTTAGCTTGGCTGCACATGTCATAGATGAGAAAAGAAGTCGCCTGAGTGGTGAAAAAGCAGAAATGCTTTTATCCATCAAGAAAAACCTGCCAATAATGCTCAAGTGACTCCAATAAGACTGTGAGATCAAAGCTTACCCCTGATAATGTTTTTAGAAGACTTAGTATTGTAAGATTTTGCAAGTTACTGTTTAGATGGCTTATACATTTAAATGGACACAAAGCTGCTGCATTGGGGGATTTTCTTTTAAGTTGCTAGTATGTTCTCAAAGGACCTTGAACCTTGTGATTTTGTAAAAGCAAAATACTACTGTGCACTTTATTTTTGGTAAGTACCTTAAAACAGTTCTCTAATCTGATCTTTTGTTAAAGTTTTGTTTTTTGAAATGTAAAAAATGAAAAGACCAATTTTGTTGTCTTAAGTTTGTTTTATTTACTTAATATTTATTATTTAATTCATTTCTATGTCAAGGCTCTGCCTCATGAGCAGTTAAAGCAAGTTTATAATGGTTCAAGGCTATTGTTCAAGAAAAGATTTTAACATTGAAAGTGAATTGCGATCTTGTAACACAGTGATGGTTATAGCAAAAAAAATAATAAAATCGGTATCAACCAAAATCGGAATCGGCAGGTCAGACTTTTTAAAGATCGGTGATCAGAAATCGGCCAGAAAACTGCAATCGGTGCACCCCTAGTTTGGATGACCTGAAGCGGTTACCTCCAAGACTGCTTAGCCTTAAAAATGATCTGATGATGGATGAGTAAGCAGTCTGCTTAAAAGATGTCGTTGTTACTACCAGCATGCTGATACTCAAGTTTTTTGTTTTTTGTTTTCGCTTTTTTTATTTATGTTGGCCTATTATTGTTGGCCTATTATTTTTGGATCGGCCTATTATGTTGGCCAATTTTTCGTTTTTTGTGGATACAGAGAAGCTGATGTTTCAGAAGGCAGCTTTAAACACACCTGCAGATTTGTAATTGTTTTTGACTTGATCATTTCAGTGTTTGGCTTGAGGTCCCAGAGTTTCGTACGGAAATGCTTTGGTCTGCCTTGAAGTCACTGGGAACTAAAAGATCTTTTACGGTTTTATTTGCTGAATAAATAAAACCGTATTTATTCAGCATTTTTATTGAAAATGTGGTTGTTATTTATTTTATTTTCTGTATTAACCCCATTGCTGGGAACATTGTTCTGAATTCTAATGGAATTCATAAATAAATGGAATCTGCAGTAAAATTGTCTTTTGAATATTTTTCTTTTTGAATCATACAAATAAAATATATTTGATTTTGAGAAAAATTGCTAACATATACAGGCAATAAAATGTGTTTAAATACAGTTAAGTCAACTTAAAAATATAAAAAGCTGAATCGACAATGTTTAGGTCTGAGAAACTGAATGAGTCATGGTGATAACATGAAGATATTATTAGGGGTGATAACTTAAAAAAATCAACTCCGTTTCCATTGTCAATTTTGTTAGTTTTAACATTAGTTTCAAAATGATCAGGTTCATTAAACTTATCAAAAATTTAAGTAGTGATTACTTAAAATGTTAGTTTGTGAAATTATTATGTTTCAGTTCATCAACTTCCTCAAAATAAATGAGTGTGAATAACTTTTCTAGTTTAGAGTAGTAATTACTTAAAATGTTTGTTTGTTGAAATTATTTGTTTTAATGTTGTTCATTTGACCAAAGATTTTAAGTGTAAAGAGCTTGTCTAACTAATGTAGTAATTACTTAAAACATCTTTTTCTCACATTATTCTTTTTAATTTTATCCTTGTCCTCAAAGATTTTGAGCACTAACAAAAGTCTCATTTTAAGTAGAAATTACTTAAAATATTCTTTAACATAGCTAAATATTTTGAGGTAATCAGTTTCATCAAATATTTTGAGTTCATTGAACCTGTTGGGGTTTACAGTGTAGATCTAATCTTAATAAATACAGTTCTTGATATAATAGCTGCTAATCAAGTCTGCAGGCACCTTAGCAAGTTTCAGTTTTGAAGATTTTCAGTCAGGGCATAGAGCTCATCATTCTGCAGCTTTGAAACAGCTCTGATGAAAGATACTAATGACATTTTAATGGTCTTTGTTAATGGAGTTGCATCTGGACTTGCCCTGTTAGATCTCAGTTCTGCACTTTTTTCTATAGGAATTAATGGAACAGCAATAGGCTTGTTTAAATCGTATTTGTCTGACAGATTTCAGTTTGCTATGTCAATGATGAATCTTTTTCAAGCTCCAGGGTTACTTATTAAATGTAGTCGACCATGCGCCTGCCATAATAACTACATTGTGGTCTTTGATTGTTAAATATAACAGGAAAACCAAGCTTGAAGCGAAGTTAACCTGCTTGATAATCCTCATCTAAAACTGGTTTAATCTCCTTAAAGTTGTTTCCTTTAGACGAAAATGGATCAACCTTCTTCCAAAAGGCTTCAAGAGTATCAGATCATAATAGACAAACAAATCAGAAAAATCTGGAGAGAGTATGCCATGCTATCTTCTCCAAATTTACATACATCTATGAGGAATGTTTCTGGCACTGTAATGACCCGATGCCGTAATGCTAAAAGCAACCTCGGACATGTAAGCCGTACCTAACAAAGTGCCAATCACATGCATATAAAATCTTACTATACTTACTTTTAATTCATTGACATTGCTTTAGTATTACAATATTGCATAGAAACGATGGTCCAGTAGAGACTGATTTGTGCAAATACATTAAGCTGTGTTAGCCAATCATATTTCTACAAGATGTTAAATACCCAACCCTGTATGTGACGTTGTATATAAATTATTATATATACTGAAACAAGTCATGTATTACCCTTGCATGCATCTGCACATGATTAGGAGTAAGAAGCTTTGAAGCTCTGCTATGATTATCTTTTCAAGAGTAATGGCAAACATTCTGTAATTTATCTGTGTTTGCACATCCATTTCTTTTTACATGTATAGCACTGTCATTCTGGGTAAAATCTCTCTATTAAATGCAGGATAAAGTGAGGAAAACACTGCTTTAAAATGTTTTTTAGCAGTTAAAACAGAAAAAGTAAGTTCTTTCTAGGCTTCTTTACCAGCAAAGGAAGAGTAAGAAGCTCCAATTAAGGATAAGACTTTTTTTCTGTCTATCTCGTCTCTTCCGTGCATCTCAGCAACTTTTGCAGTACTTTTTTCACCTTTCCTCTTCTTTCTCTATTACTGCAGTGGCAAGCACATTCCCCTACTCTTTCCAGTGCTGCAGACATTGGAGAGTGCTGTTAAGTTCCCTGTCAGGGCAAAAATGCATAGAACCTATACACTTCCTTTATCTGTAATATAAGTGTTTGGGACTCTTGAAAACACTCATAAAATCACACTCCTTTGTTTTCATAAGTTATGGTGACCTCTTATTGACTTACATTTATTTTATGCGTCCTAACCCAGATGCTTACCCTAACCCTGCCCACTACCAACATATATCTATCCCTAACCTAAACTGAATTTACACCTTAATCATAAACCTGAGCTGCACATTGGAGCAGTGGGTAGCACTGCTACCTTGCAGCAAGAAGCTTCCGGTTATTGCTCTTTCTGCATGGAGTTTGCATGTTCTCCCTGTGTATGCATGGGTTCTCTGCAGGTACTCTGGTTTCCACCCACAGTACAAAAATATGACTGTTAGGTTAATTGGCTTCCCAATAAGATTGTAAGTACAAATAAGATAAGATAATTATAAATATGAAATAAGGGTAACAAGAAAATAAGGTAAGTATGATGTGTGTGCTACCTAAATAATAAGTAAAACTAAGTCTTTGTACAGGTTTCTCAAGCCAGGTGGCGCATTTGACCAGGGGCTCATCTCCTCTTTCTAAAATGCATCACGAACTGCTTGAGAAATCTTTCCTACTATGATAACTGGTGATGCAAATAAATAATATTCAATAAGATGTATTTAATGTATGTGTTTAATAAGCGTTTATTCATATAAACATGAGTTCTGAACTGTAGGCCCACATAATATGGTGAACTGTTTACAGTCAGTAGCTTTGTATTATTTCCACCAGTCACTCAGGCAGTCCATCCTGTGAGGCTGGAGGAGCCGCAAGGGCTGCTGGGTAATGTCAAGATGGGGAAAACACCACAGTTTTATCCGAGTTTTTTGTTAAAGAGGGTTGTGTATGTTTGTAGTCTGTTCATTCCAAGTTAAAATGATGGTTCCAGTTGTAAGTTTTAACATTGGTACCACTGAATGTTTCACCAGTTGCATATAAGGGAAAAAGTATTTCCTGTTTTTTTAATTTTTTTTATTACATAAATAAATCGCTTTGCAACTGGCCATTTGTTTCAGTGTTGGTTATTTACCTGCTGGTAAATACGCTACAATACCAAGGTAAAAGTCATCATTAGTATAGACTCACCTCCCATCTTAATTCTGAGAACACTCTTAATTCTGATAAGAGTCTTGTGTTAAGATAGATAGATAGATAGATAGATAGATAGATAGATAGATAGATAGATAGATAGATAGATAGATAGATAGATAGATAGATAGATAGATAGATAGATAGATAGATAGATAGATAGATAGATAGATAGATGGATGGGCGGAAGGACGGACGGACGGACAGACAGTTTGGTTTTCTTTTTTTCTGTTTTGTTTTTTGCTTTGTCCAAACAGAAAACATGCAGGTAAAAGAAATAGATTATTTCTCTGGAGGTTATAGATAGATAGATAGATAGATAGATGGATAGATAGATAGATAGATAGATAGATAGATAGATAGATAGATAGATAGATAGATAGATAGATAGATAGATAGATAGATAGATAGATAGATAGATAGATAGATAGATAGATAGATAGATAGATAGATAGATAGATAGATAGATAGATAGATAGATAGATAGACTCTTCTGCAGGATGGCTGGGCACTCTCTTAGAGAAATGTTTTTAGGACCTTGGTCATCGGGGAGAGCTTAAGAGTACAGCCGTTACATAATCCTATTCTAGATACACCTCTGGAATATTAGTTCCCAACCTAAAGATATCATTTCAAGGCTCACAAATGGTGTACTGTATATCAACTAACTGGTTTCTCTAACGGTTACAGTAGGGATTGTACTTAATACTGTATTCACATCACCTAGGGCAAGGATTCCCAAAAATGTCAGCATGTTGCTTTAAAGATAGCTGGGCAACAGACTGGTGATCCTTAAAAATATGTATATATTTATACTTTATGTACTAGTACTTATACAGGTCCACCCGTTATATTCATTTTTAAATACACTTCTTTTTTATGAAATTTTATAAGTATGTTTATTATTTTTAAATGTATTTTAAATTGTTTTATGGGACATTTAATTATTTTTGTATTTTACAATACTATACATCTAAAGTATGAATCATGTCTCATGCTCCTCTGCTGTGACCCACACACCTGGGATCCTCCACCTTCACGACATCAGATTGTTGTCTAACCCCAGTGATAACGCATTCATTCCGTTTGCTTATTCTGACCAAGTCTGGTCAAAATCTAACACGCTTTTTTTCTCTTTTTGTCCAGCCTGTCTGAACCTGTTCTCTAAAATTGGATTCCCTGGCTTTGGCCTTCTGCTTGTCAGACCTCGATTACCTGGATTGTCTCAACTGTTGTGCTCTGGTCCAACCTCTGTCTGGTAGTTGTTAGAATGAGAACGATTTGTCCCCTTGGAAGGAAGGCTGTAGCGCCCCTGGGGCCTTCTCACCGGTTCTTTTCCTGGGAGCAAGTTATTTACTACTCTTAACTCAAACTGGGTAAAACCATATAAAAAGGACTATAAAAAGAGGAGTAAAAAAGTAACAGAGTTTATTCCAGATCAGGTCGTTACAGGACAGAGAAAAATGCTTAGAGCTTGCACAGCTGTGGTCTCAAAAATCACATCCGCGAGCGTTCGGCAAAGTTTGAGCCCCGAACAACGTCATCACCTGCTTCTTATAGCTCATGGGTCTATGTGTTGCATCATGTTGATGTTGAGCTGGCCGTATCAGAAACTGACACGCCATCCATGTCTTGAACTTCATGCAGCTTGCTTCTATACTTCAGGGTTGCAGATAGCTATCCTCTATCAGACCGGCTCCAAGATATGCCCATATCCTGTGTACTCTTAAAGACACGAAGGCTGTCTTGATTAGACGACCTCCGT